CATTAGATCAAAACCTCAAATAAAACTCCAGAAAGGTGTACAACATGGGACCTTTAAAGTACATTATGGTCAAACAACATATAGTCAGAGCTTATTGAACTCCGTGTCAAACAGAGCAACGTCTCTTAATGTCCATTAAAAAGTTTATGATGGTTAAAATAAGTTGATTTTTGTTTTTCAGCACCTTATGTTTTGAAGAAGCTTGACAGCATATGAAACTTCACTGGATACAGAAACATTCCCTGAGAGATGAGCATGCAGGACCTGGACGATGCTGCACAGAGTCACTTACCATGGCAGTTAATGAAGAGATGGTGTAACTTTGTCATTTATTTTATTTAATATTTTTTACTGGATGCAGTTGAATGTACTTGATTTGTTCTCATCTAATCTCAATTGAAAACTATGGCAAACAAGAGATGTCTACCAGAATGTTATCACGATGGTCTATGATCAATTATTCCCATTGAGTTGTCAAGACTTAAACTTGGATTGGATTTATAACATTTACTTTGCTTTAATGTAAATTTAAAATCCCAGTAGTTTCCATTTATACATTTGGTTTTATTATAAATGTGCTATGAGGGTAAAAACGGACATTTAAAGTTTTCAACGAAATCAATGTAATGACAATGACATTCATATCCTGATGTCTTGAAAACGTGGTTCAACTGTTTCCCCAACAAAAGCTGTTTCTCTCCAAGAGATGTCAAATACAGGAGTTTCAATAAATTCTTTATTGTTACAAATTAAATACCTATAACATTAATTCTACTTTAGCTTGGAGTGTATAAGGGCATTTGAGTGTTGGCTTTTAATGTGCAATATCACAGTAGAACAAATGTGCATGTTTAGCACATCAAATCATGTCATCTTGTTCCAGTCATGACCAAGATTATCCATGTGAGATGATTGTAATACGTGTTTTATCCCTTCTAATCTCATGTAGTTAATGCAGTGCATTTAATAGTTAGATTTTCGCCACTGACTTTTCCATTCATATAATGACATAATATGGCATCTGCATTACAGTTTCAGCTCACTGGGCATTTCAGAGCCTGTCAGGCCTGCCAGCAAGTTGTTTGCTGTCAGTTCACTCATGACACCTCGTGTGGAGTAGGTGGCACTGCCAATATGAGGGAGAACCACTGTAAGACAAAGTTAGACAAGGTTTTTCTACTAATACATGGCAAAAAAATAACAATTGAAGTGGATTTACAAGAGCACTATTGAGATTTAAAAGCTGCTTTTCACTCACCACAGTTTTTAAGGGTCAGCAGTGGGTGGTTGGTAGGCAGAGGTTCAGGGGTTGTAACATCAAGCCCAGCTGCTGCAATCTGACCACTGCTGAGGGCTTCAAACAAGTCCTCTTGATTCACAACCACCCCCCTAGAGAAAAGAAAACAGTATTTTTTAGTTTAGCATTGATTTGAGGAGAAATTGTTAACTGCAAAGTAGTAAAAGAAAAATGTGTGAAACAATCAAACATGTTCCACTGCCGCTCTGCTTTTCTGCTTTGTCTTTCACCTGCTGGTGTTGATAAAGATTGATGTTTTCTTCATCTTGCTGAAGAAGGTTTTGTCACAAAGGCCTTGAGTGTCAGGAGTCAAAGAACAAGACACCACCACAAAATCACTCTCTCTCACCAGAGTGTCTAAAGGCACTGAGTGAAGATTTAAAAAACAAAAGAGGCCATCATACAATCTTCTTATCCCCTCTAAATAGTTTTATTGCATCTGAATTCATATATAGAGTTGCATCAGGCAATTTCTTTTCCTTTCTTACCATATTCCCCATCAACCTCTTGGGCCTGAGGTTTGGGTTGTCTGCCTGTGTACAGAAGTCTCTTCACTCCAAAAGGCTTTAGTCGCCTTGCAATAGCCAAACCTACAAATCGTCAATTAAACAAATTTATTTAAGCCTCATTTACACAGTGACCCAATTCTGATTTTTTTGCTCATATGTGACAGATCGGATGTGTTCTATGACCGTGTAAACAGGAAAAAAAACACATGCATTCAGATATTTCGAGATTGGTTTCAGGCCTCATTCATATGTGGAAATATATCAGATTTAAAGCAGATATGTGCCAATGCGACTCACGTAGACAGGCAGATCAGATTATCTGAGGCCTTGCGTTCTGTACTTCATAAAAACTGCGACAATTTGGTACTTCTCTGCGGTTTAATGACGTGATATTATTCTCAGGAAGAAGCACGTGTGGAGGCGGTAAATGACAACAACACAGGAAACATGGAGGAGATATGGCAAGTGTAAACACATGAATTGGATATGGGTCTCAATTGAAAGAACGTGTAAACGGACGGTAAAAAAAAATAAAATAAAAAAATCAGATATAGGCAACAAATCAAAATTGAGCATCAAGACCTGCGGTGTAAACAAGGCATTAGAGTCAATGTAATTCTCCCTATAATGATTAAGTCTAAAGTATTCACCTTCATTGTTTTAACAACATAGATTGGGCGACATCTTCAATTATCCAGAGAGATCACACTACATATGGTAACAAGTTGCTTATGTGTAAAGTGACTTGTTTTCACTATGATTATCACTGAATTAGTCACTTTATTAAAAGAACAGATGGTGTACATAATGGAGCAGATGCATAGGTAGCTTATTTTAAGGTAGAGAGAAAAAATGAATAATTCATACTGTACCTATGCGGCCCAAACCAATCACCCCAACAGTACTGCCCGAAAGACCGTAACCACACAGCCACAGAGGCTTCCATGTACTCCAGCCGCCACTGAGAGAGATGGGAAATATGCCAAAAAACTGGGATATTACAGGGGTACTGATTCTTTGTTTTTAAAGATCATACTTATTAAACATTAAAGGGATAGTCCACCCAAAAATGAAAATTCTGTCATAACTTACTCACCCTCATGTCTTTTTTTTCTTCTGAGGATCACAAAAGAAGATATTTCAAGTAACATTGGTAACCAACCAGTTTCAGTTTCCATTGGCTGACATTATGTTTTGTCCAAACAATGGAAGTCAATGGGAACCAAAACTGTTTAGTTGCCAACGTACTTCTGAATATCTTCTTCTGTGTTCCTCAGGAGAAAGTGTATAAATTAATACAAAATTTTCCATTTTTGGATGGACTATCCCTTTAAGACTGCTGAACATTTGGAACTGTGCAAAGCTGTGATATATGACGTAATGTATTAGAAAAGGTGTTGGACTGACTTTTTCACTTCCTCTACACCCTCGGGAAGACGTCGGGCAGTGGCCAAGAGCAGAGCCACCGTCAGCTCAGCAGTAGCATCCGTCAAAACATCAGGAGTGTAGCCTACTCTTATCCCTCTGGGGTGAAGAAAGATAATACATGTGTTTAAATTGTATTAACGTCATTACTGTGATCCATCATCATCGATCCACTGTCCATTTTCTCACTTTCTGGGGTCAAATCTAATGGCTTACAGAAACACAAACTTACTGTTTCTTTATCTCCTCTATGGCAAGATGGTCACATCCCACAGAGAAAGTGCTGATCACTTTCAAGTTGGGTCCTGAGAATATTTAATGTGTGTTATCAGTATTACTAAATCAGTATCTTCACCTGCAGTTGTTCTAAAGTGGAACAAGAGGTTTGCCTTACCAGCCGCATCCAAGACTTCAGCATCAATTTTGTCTGAGAGTAAACAGAGAAGCCCATGAGCACCTGCCACCCCCTTCAGGAGCTCTGCCCGGGGCACAGGCTCATCAGAGTCCCACACTGACAAATTACACCTGCACATAATGGATAACAGAGGCATTTAAATGAACAAAAACTGCTCCTAAAATTTGTGCAAGTTGTTTCCAATCATTTAATCGTTTTTATTCTGCTACATTTGTTGTAAGGCTCGTGTCCTAACAGTGTGACATTCACAATTAGACTGTAAGCATGCTGCAAGGTCACTGGTGAAACTTTAAATGCAGGAGTGAAGCCAAACTTTATCTTCTTCCAAAGTTCCTTGAGATTCACACACACATGGCTGTTAATGAACACCGTGGCCACCCTAGTTTTGACACGAGCTACTTCATCTCATTAACACTCCAGGGAAAGCATCAAGGCATTTTATATACGTTAAATTCACATATAAAGCATGCATACAAGATCACATAAAGTTTCGTACATCCCGGCATTTTGGAGTATTTTCATGCCCTCCTGCGGAATGCGTCTCGTGACGAACACTTTCAGCATCTGCTGCGCGCTCATCCTGCACAATTAAAGGCCAAATGGATATGTTCACTACGAAAATGATAACAACAGTAATCCACAGACGCTTCCCTGTTTACATATACTGGGCTGGGCAGCACTAAAAAGTACGTGACAGGCAGGGTTGCCAGGTCAAGGTTGCCAGGGTTCCCACAACAAAACCCGCCCAATTGCTATTCAAACCTAGCCCAAAACTAGCCCAATCGCATTTCGAGGGGGGCTCCCCGTTAAAAATCGCGTTCCGGTGGGTAAAATACACGTTTTTGGCGGGGTTCCCCTGGTAAAATTCGCACTCCAGGGGCTAAAAATCACGTTATCGGGGTCGCTATAACCCGCGGAAATGAAAAACAACCCGCGGCAACAGTGATAAAGTACCCCAATTCCGCGGGAAAACCGCGGACTTGGCAACACGCTGGCAAAAGTGTCTCTTCTTTCCAAGAGTTCTCCTTTTTTGCAGGCTTTCGCGCCATCTAGTGGAGCGGATGGACAGCGCAACTGCGGGTGCGAACTTTTTCTGAGGGCGTTTCAGACTAAGCTGACTGTTATTGGGATTGAAAATGTACTGTAAATTACGACAGGTACGTTCAACCTTGTGTTTTAAAAATCCCTAATGTGTTTTGTTTGTTTTATTTAAAATGTATTTTATTCAGGGTTTACTTAGCGTTTTATTTAGCTGCATTTGCGTTTGTCAGCTACTGAATTGACTAACGTTATATGTCGCTCGTATGATTGTTTTAACTTTATTTAACTGCAGGTTTTGAGGTGTTTATTGGCTTTAGTTCATCGGGAGTGTGGTGAGTGTAAACGGTCAGGAGGTCTGATGGTTGTCATGAGAGCGCTATCTGAATCTCCCGCAATTTTAACCGGTAAAACACGAACGAACTAAACTAATGCTGATTTACTTGTCACTTTTTAATTCTGTAAGATTGATAAATGACTGACTTAATGCTTTGTGCATATTTCATTCATCTTGTCAAATGTCATTTACAGTATCTGCTGCTGGTGCTTGGTGTAAGAAAATGTCTAAGTCTGCTTTGAAAGGTGAGTGTGTAAGTTACTAGCCTAATAAAACTATTGATTGTAATTTTAAATATGTTCAGATTCACGTTGTTTCTTCTGTTTTTCTTTTTCAGAGGCTATAGACGGTCTTTCTTTAGAGGTCCCACCTTGTGAGTGTGTTCATCAGGAAGAGCTTCAGAGGTTTACTGACAAGTTTGGGTCTTTGTTTTTTACCTATTCTTTCCATGTGAGTGCCTCCTCACTGAATAATCTACCAGGAAATTTGTGTTTGACAAAATTCAGTTCTGTTTTATTCAGATATTGTGCTTATACATTTAGTATGTTTTCACATATTTTGTACAATTTGTTTTATCTTCATTTCTTAAATGACTTGTGTTTAATTCTGATATTGTGATTATATATTTAGTATGTTTTCACATATGAATTTTAAATAGTTTATCTTAATTTCTAAAAGGTTGAAAAGGCTACTAGTCGGTCAGTGGAGGCTGAACTGTCAAAGATCCAAAAATGTCTGCACAGACTCAGTCTGGTTCATGCGCAGGTGAGGCCAGTGCGGTACATTCAAACTATTGTAACAACATTGATAATTTCCTGCAATTACATTGAAATAAACCAAAACATTTACCCTTAAGGTGATTTATGTAAATGTGTATATTTGCAATAAAACTGTTGCGTATTTCGAATTTTTAATTAACTGTGAGTGAAGGTATTATTCTCTCTCCTCAAGTGAAGGTCTGGTTCTGCCTTTTTATCTATTACAGGTGAAAATCATATCTGAGATTAGGACAGATTCAACGACACGCAAGCAAATGTTCAGGTTGTCTAAATAAACATGTATTCAAAAGTTTTGGGAAATGAATACTTCTATTCAGAAATAATTCCTTAATTTGTAAGGACATTTATAAAACTACAAAAGATTGCTATTTCAAATAAATACTGTTCCTTTAGACGTTCTGTTCATCAAAGAATCCTGAAAAAAATGTATCGTGGTTTCCACAGAAATATTAAGCAGCACAACTGTTTTCAACACTGATAACAGTAAGAAATGGCTATTGAGCACCAAATCAGCACATTAGAATGATTTCATGTGACACTGCAGTGATTACTTCTTTTAAAATTATATTTGAAAATATATTGTCCAAAATATTATAATAATATGTAGCAATATTACCGTTTTTACTGTATTTTTTATCAAATAAATGCAGACTTTATGAGCATAAGAGACTTCTTTCAAAAGCATCTAAAATCTTACTGACTCAAAACTTTTGAACGGTAGTGTAGATGATAATAATAAAATAGTCAAAGCATGTTTTTATGCTTTTGATGCTCTTATTCTTCTCTGCAAGTGATGTGTTACAGGTCTACTAATTAAGCCCACTTTTTTATTTTTAAAAATGTTTTGGGTGTAATTGTCCTTATTTGCTGTTTTATAGTGGAGGAGAGAAAGGAAGTAAAGTTTCAGCGATGGATCATAGCATTACTATGGACACTGCCGCATACGGACAGTCAGTTCCTGCAATTTGTTATTAAATAGAACAACTTTCTAGCAAGCAGAATGAACACCTCAGACTGGTCATTGAGTTTTAACGTCTTAAAAATCTCTACTTGCATTTTGTTTGTCCTTGCACATTTTATTTCTATTTTATTTTGAAGGAGTCCATTCTCTGTACGGTGTCTCCCGTCCTGTCCACAAATGCATCCAGTATTGGGAAACACAATGAGCTGTGTGCTTCCCTCTAACATGATAGAGGCTGGACTGTGTGGGGAAATGAGCATGGCTACCATGGCAACACTTGCTCCCTGTATGAATCTGTATTCCAATTGGCCCACTCGTCTCTCATGCATACGGATATCCTTTGTAATGTGCACATAAATATTGTTATTAAAATTTAAGAGTGTGCATATGATTTTAGGCGGCCTGTCTTTTTTTTTTTTTTGGTAAAAAAAAAATGCTGATTCTTATTCATATTTATGAACAAAAAAGATATGTTCTCCTTAACATTCATTGCACATGTTAGTGTACAGTCCATGCGGCATGCCTTTAATGCAACAAACACAGCCGAGTTTCCTCCAGAGTTTGGCTACTTCACTTTCCTGGGCAGATCTCGGCCTTTCTAGAGTCTGTTGTATGGAAGCACAAAACATCCAGGGTAAATTACATGCCTAAATGGGGAGAAATTGGGGATACTGAGGGCAAATTCCCTCACTGTGTTATAATTTTATGGATGGAAGCCTCGCTGCAAAGCATAAAGTGCCCTGAGCTACAAATCACTGTTGGCTTTGAGGCTAGAGTTGTTCAGACAGTTTTCCAGCATGTCTATATATTATTTAATTCTGGCTTTTCTCTTTATAGGATCTCTGTGTTCTGAAGTAGAATTCTCTGTTGAGACTGACTGCAGCCAGGAAACAAGATGTAGTAGTGCTGTACAGCAGGACATTGAGTCAGAATGGAGCCATGCTGTAGAACAGACTCTGACTGTCTTCGTTTTCACTCAATACACTGACCCCTTCCACTCCCAGATCTCCGACTTCATAGGTGAGTCACGTTTGCTTTTCCCTATCATATAGACATCTTGAGATGGGTCATAATATTTTGACATTCTGCTTTTAAATGTTTCAGGCAGTGAAGAGGTTTTTGAGAGACACTTGGATGCAATTCTTTGGTACAACGGAGATCAAGTGAGGGCGACGCTGCAGACTACCATGAAAAACACGCTGAAAGGATTTCAGCAAAAACATGCTGTAAGATTCATCTGTTAACTTTCTTTTTAAATGTTCAAAATTTTGGCTACTTTCATTCATTCATTTAATTAGCATTCAAAAGTTTAGGAGTCAGTAAGATTAAAGACTGAAGACTTTTACAGTGTTACAAAAGATTTCTATTTCAAATAAATGGTGATCTTTTGACTTTTATATTCATCAAAAGAAATCTGAAAAAAGAAGAAATATATATTGTTTCAGCATTGATAATAATAAAAATGGGTATTGAGCAACAAATCAGCATATTAGAATGATTACTGAAGGATCATGTGACACTGATGTGAAAATTCAGTTTTGCCACCACAGGTATAAATTACATTTAAAAAATTAGTCAAAAATATTATTCTTTTACATTATAATAAAAGGTAACAAACTTACTGTTTTTACTGTTGTTTTATCAAATAAAGGCAGCCTTGGTGAACATAAGAGACGTCTTTCAAAAACATTTGAAAAAAATCTTACAGACCCCAAACTTTTGAACACATATGCATGGAACAATAGTGACAGTATAGCCATTAGTCATTTTTTAAAGACCACTGAACCATACATCTTTTCTGTGTGTACTTCAGGCCAGGCAGAGGTTGGGTTCTGCCATACCCATTGTGTTGAGCTCAATGAACAGTATAATTGCCAGCAGCAGCAGTGGAGAGTTTCGAAGAGCGTGTTTTGATAGCATGAAGGTATAACATATGGCTATAATTTATACTGGTTCCCAAAACACCCTATTTTATGTGTCATTCCACTTCTTATTCTTAAGAACAGTGCTTGCTAACTTGTGAAAGTTGTATAAAATGTTTTAAAACTGGGTTTGTTTTAGGTCAAGAGCACCAGCGAGTTACATGCCTCACTAAAGCAGTCTCTTCAAAGCATCGTGGCTGGGCGCTTTACTCCAAGGCATAGGTGTAATAAGGAAAAGGTGCTTTTGCAAAGCTTTTTTTAGATTATTTAATTTCTGCTTTCATGATTTTGCCTTTGAACGTTTGTGATTTTAATGTCCTCACAAGGTGGTGGAGGCTGTTAGCACTGAACAGAGTAGTCTTGATGGCTGGGAGGAAGGTACGTTTTTAAATGAGTTTAATAGTCTTCATACAATAATACTTCCTAGAAATTATCTGATACTGGGAATTTTGTCATTATAATTGTTCTCATTTCATGTCTTTTGGGGGGTTATTGACTTTGAAATCATTAATAGAGTTGGCTGAGATTGTTATATTTTGAAATGTCCACCAGAAAATCCACCAGAACTGTCTTCTAAGAGGATTCACTCTGAACTTCAATACTCAAGCTTTACCCCTACGAAGAGACAACATTCAGAGATGATCTCTGAGAATTCAGACACCTTCATGAACAATGTCTTTGAGGCAGCAAACATCCAGAGAAATTCCCTGTCCCCAATACAGCTTCCTCAAAGTCAGCAAACCAGAATGATCGCAGACAAACCCTCAGTGCTGAGCCTGACTAACCTGAAAAATGAACAGGTGGATAATTCTAAAGTTATTGGGAATACTGTATGCCACTTGTTCAAAGCGATACGTAGTCACAAAAAGATGTCTATACAGTACAATGCATATCCTAACTGTTTTGTTATCTCTCTTTGTGAAGGTGGAGAAGCAGTGGCTTCAAGAGCTTGAAAACTTTTCTGAATGGGACTGAGGAAAATACAAATAAATATAGATTATCTTTTCTGTTGTTGTTTTGCTCATGTCTTCAAGACATCTTTCTGTCTTTGTATATTCAAATACTACTTTGTAAGTTTACAAGATGCAGTCTTTGTTGTAATTTAATAGTATGTATTTTATTTGTTTATTTATTTTGTAGGCTACATTAAAATTTACAAGGAATGTATCCTCATTTTTCTGTTAAATGTATATTCTGGACATATGCACTATTAGAATCAGAATCAGAATCAGAATCAGAAAGAGCTTTATTGCCAAGTATGTTTGCACATACAAGGAATTTGTTATAGTGTCACAAGCTTCCAGTACACAGAGACAACAACAACACACAGATAATAAAAATGAGATGTGAATAAAATACACATGCATAAATATAAACCACAAAAAAAATAAAAAATAAAGAATAAATTGTATGTACAGGTGTGCTATAGATGGAATGGGAATAGAATAAAATAAAATAAGTTGTAGGGATGTACTAGGGTTTAGGGTGATAAATAGGTATAAGGTTATTGCACATACTTTAATTGCACAATGGGAGAACATTAACTGTTCATGAGGCAGATTGCCTGGGGAAAGAAACTGTTCTTGTGCCTGGCTGTCCTGGTATTCGGTGCTCTGTAACGCCGACCAGATGGCAAAAGTTCAAAAAGGAGATGGCTTGGATGTGATGGATCCAGAGTGATTTTCTGAGCCCTTTTCCTCACTCTGGATGTATACAGTTCTTGGAGGGTAGGCAGGGGGGCACCAATAATCCTTTCAGCAGTCCGAACCGTTCTCTGTAGTCTTCTGATGTCTGATTTTGTAGCTGAACCAAACCAGACAGTTATTGAAGTGCACAGAACAGACTCGATGACGGCTGAGTAGAACTGTTTCAGCAGCTCCTGTGGCAGGTTGAATTTCCTCAGCTGGCGAAGGAAGTACAACCTCTGCTGGGCCTTTTTAACAGTGGAGTCAATGTGAGTGTCCCACTTCAGGTCCTGAGAGATGGTGGTGCCCAGGAACCTGAATGACTCCACTGCAGTCACAGTGCT